TCCCCTTCTCTACCTAACCTACCCCACAGGGTTGTTGTGAGGATGAAATGGAGACTCATGGGCAGGGTCCCCAGCTTCCCTGGCAGGAACACCATGTTAAGAAATCTCTCACAATTATGCAGCCATAGCAGGCAGGAGGGAAGAAGGCGAATACCTCCAGCACCAGTGACTTATATGGGAAGAGTCAAACTTTGGGGACTCACCCCTGCACCAGAGGGCCAAGGCAGCAGGAGGCAAGAAGCCTGGGTGAGCTGGGCTCCTCCATGCCTGGCAGAAGATGAAGTGCAGAGGTGAGAGGTGGGCAAGCAGAAGAGGCACTCAGCCAGCTGCACAAGCTGCGTGCAAAGAAACTCCCGCCGCCCCAAGCTTCAGGGCTGCCTCGTTAAAGGAGTGCGGAGGCCAGACTCGCAAATGAGAAAAAGCAAACTCAGGGTTCGTGGGTCGCATTTTGGGCTGTGGAAGAGGAACTGGCTCCATTCCTGGAGTTCTCTCGAGTTCCTGTGCTTTTGGTTTTGCTTTTTGCCAATCCGCTTCCCAAGACTGCTCCAGGTGCTCCTGCCTGAGGGCTGCTGGGGCTTCCCGCAGTTCGGCCCCATTATATCCTATGGACCATTGAAGTCAATGGCGAAAACATAGGGTATATTCTGGGAGCTGGAGGGGAGGGGGTTTGAGGGAGAGGCTCCAGAATCGCAGGGTAGCTGCTGGAGCCTCTCCCCAAGATACCCGCCATGTTTCAGGAACATTGAACCAGGGGGTCCAATTCTGCAGGCCCCCAAACAGGTTGCCCCATCCCCTCCATTGTTCTCTATGGTGGGAAAAAAGTTTTTTCCCCCCACCAGAGAACAATGGAGGGAATAGGCCGTCAGCGCCTATGGCGGAAGAGCCACACTCAAGGGGACAAAGAGCCGCATGTGGCTCTAGAGCCGCAGTTTGCCTACCACCGCACTAGGGGATGCCCAATTTCTTCTTTTACTCGTAGCTTCTTCTGCTGTATTAGAACTTGCTGCTAAAGACACAATTTTCATCAGTGGCTTCGGGGAGACAGGAGAGCTGAGGTCAGAAAAGGGATTCTGAGGCATCCTTACATAAAGAAAGTTCCCATGAAGCATTTGGATCTTGGCCACAGAATCTGCCAAAACAGCAGCAGAGGACTTTCAAGTGCTGCTGGAACTCTCACTGTAATGCCATATTTAGAACTGGGATGTCAGGATAATCCAAAAGGCAACAGCTCTACATAGCCACAATTTAAGAATTACAGAAGGTGAATAAAACTCTGTGATTTTAATTTTGTTTGCTGAACTTAACAGTATCATTATGAACCCATTTTACGTTTGCACATAAGCAATTCAGGTCAATTTGCAGTCCTTCAGATATACTCATCCTTATGGTATTTGGGCCTACACTGGAAGAAGGACGGAGAAATAATTAACTTACTAATTTTACAACGGTTGTACCTGTAATATTCCACTTGATGCCACGCTCTATAGAAGCCATCTAGAGACTGTTCTCCTTGACGTATGTATGTTGTCTTGCTGATATACACACCTATTAAATGCAGTGGACAAGAAGATTCAATCATCTATAAATTCATGTTCTGTGATCCTTTGCATTTCAAGATTAGATTTATCAAGGGAGAATTTTTTCACTGGTAATGTACATTAATTCATCTAAAACTTACAAACCAATAGGATTTTAAAACAGAAGTTACACAATGATCTCCATCTTTTACTACAGAATTACTCTACATGGTAGTTATGCTTATTGGCAGGGCTTTTTTTGTGGTGATACTCACTAGTACTAAAAACCAACACCTTGTTTGGGGGCTCTCTCAAGTCCTGAGGGAGGAAATGGTGAAAATTGGTGCAACCTTATACATGAATACCAGCATGTTCTTTGTTTACAAAAAAAACCCCACTGCTCATTGTAATAATAATTATCCTAGCACACTGGTCTTCAAATGGCAAGATGACCCAGTAGCAATATAATTTTCTTGTCTGTTTCTTTGTTTGTTCCTTTATAAAGAACTGGAGAGAAGCAGACAGAGAAAATGGGGACCAGGTGCAAAAGACTTCAATTCGTTTTCATAGTAGCATGAAGAAACTATTTTAGTTAGAAGATGTGACTTTTTCACTCCCACATGACAAAGTGCACTTTCTTCTTTAAAATACGATCCCTGCCCGCCTTTGCATCAGGTCATCCTAAACAAAGAAAGAACAGCATATTCTGTAAAAACTTTAGAAGTGGTACCCACAGGGGTCGTTTCGTAGAAAAAGAGCTAGGGGAACTCATTAGCATAACTCATTAGCATATGCCACACCCCCTGACATCACCGCCCCCAACGGTCCCGGCTGCCACCGCCGGCCTTGCAGCTCCACTGCTGAGCCCCATGAGGGGCCCGACGGTGGACCTGCAAGGCTGGCGGGAGTGCAAGGAAGCCCCGCGAAGGCCCTCCCTGGCCCCAGGCAGGCAGGGGTGGGGAGAGGCAGGGAGGAAGCAACTTACCCTCCCTCTTCTCCTGCCTCCTCCTGGCTGAATGAGGGCCGGAAGGGGGGCGGCCAGAAGCAGGGGGTGGGGCTTCGTCATGTGCCCCGCCCCCGTACCTCACCCGGGGGAACTGCGATCCCCCGCGAAATGACCTCTGGGTACCCATATTGCAGTTTGTGATTAATAGTGAGGCTGGGAAAAAACAGAAGAGAACTAGTGATATGGAATCAAAATGTCAGACATTCGCCATATACCTATGAGCATAACCATTTCATGTTTTTGGTTTTGACATTTTTTTTTGCCAAAGTGGACCCAAAGTGGCTTACATTATTCTCCTCTCCTCCATTTCCCCCTCACAACAAGGTAGGTTAGGCTGAGAGTGTGTGACTGGCCCAAGGTTACCCAGCGAGCTTCCATGGCACAAGTGGTGATTGGAACCTGGGTCTCCCAGATACCAGTCTGACACTCTAAACCCACTACACCCACTACACCACACTGAGCATATTCAAGACTAAAAAATTCCTGATATTTTGAACTGTTACAATAACCCCAGGTTCTATGGGTTCTATGGCTAATTTAAGCAGTCCAATTTCAACACAGTTTACCTTACCATCAAATCGAACTCTGGGCCTTTCCAAAAACATTTCTCTCCATGAGGTATAAGGAACCAATTTGTTACAACTTCTGCCCCAAACCTTCAAACAGGCCTGACGCCAGATTTCAGGGTCCCTAATTGAAAGGGAAAAAAAACATAACCGGAAAGCTCAGACCTCAACTTTAACACCAAGGCACATAAGAATATTAACAAAATATTCAATAAATGGGTATAGACAGAGAAGATGCCACTCATGAATGATATGCCACTTGTTGAAATAAGAGTTGTATTTCCCCCACAGCTACAAAACATTAGCCTCAATTACTACAGTGTCCCAGATTTTCTCTCAACCTATTATCTTCATAGGCTAGCCAAGAGGGTGCTGAACACTTATCACCAGTGTCAACAAGAATTACATTCCACATATTATACTTTTTTATGTCAGCCAATTCGGATTCATGTCTGGCCTTCACGTGTAGCAGAATGAGGTGGCAGAAAGTTCACTGAGGGTGCGGTCAGACAGCGTGCTGAGAGCGGGTGAAACTGCTCCAGTTCTGACCGGATTATATTTGATCTGGATAATCACGATCACACTTACCTCCCTTATCCCGCCTCACCGCGCAGTCACGTCGCTCCCCGGCGTCTACACTACCGACACGCGGGAGCGTGTGTCGGCAGGTTTAAAAAATTTTTTCCTCGATTTGCACATGCGCATAAGGCACTCATCCATAGAAGCTACCATGGCGCATGCACAGAACCACCAGGGCGAATCAATCCAACCTCTCCAACAAAAGACTTTCCTTTAAACATTTGACCTGAAAATGGCCTCCATGAGATCCCGAACTCATCTAAACGCTGAAACAAGTGACCATTTAAATGTCGGTTTTCAAAACATGGTGGCGGAGGTCTGCCTATAGGCACACAGCCAACACTAAAAAAAAATGGCGGTCGAAAAGCGGAAGCCTTGGGCAGCTTTTGAGCGGGGAGGGGGTTTAAACCGGAAGTGGCTTGACACCGGAGAAGCGATCATACAGGGGGAAAATGCGGCTTTAAACGGGAGAGCTGAGAAAACACCATTTTGGGACCTGGTAACAAAATACTCTGGGTTAAAGCGGTTTTGAGCCGGAAACCAAGGGCTGGGGACAGGAGGCAGATGATGACTGTGTGATCGTGCAGATAAAATCCATTGCTGAACCGTCAGAACACCAGATCAAACGGCGCGTCTGAACGCACCCTGTAAGTGGGGAATGTAGTTTTTGAATGCTCAGTGTTGAACATAGCAAGTTCAATCACTTGTGTCATGAAAGAGTTAACTATTTACATATGCTAATCGATGGTTATTTAGCATGTAGCGAATCAGTCTTGCTGCACATAGTCACTATCAGCATAACTGGATGAAACCTAAGTATTCTTACAAGGAACAACACTAATGCAGAAAAATAAAGTCACAATAATACAGAGAAGTCAAGTCCCAAAAATTTCAATGTGTCTCACTCCTGGTTGTATTATAATTTCATAGTACAACTTGACATGCATTCATCATGGAGTGGACTCATATAGTTCCAGGAGGATCCAAATAATCTTGAAGTCCCAGCAAGGACGAAGATGTCCTATTCCAAATTAGATGTGTTGTAAAATGATTATTGGTTGATCAAAGTATTGGTGGGAGGGAGTCCAGGGGCTTCCTTTCCTGCCTATGTTCTAAGACCAGAATGAAGAATTCTTCTTGAACTATCCAGTAGCCAGATAAGACGCAGGTTAGAGTATTTTTCTTGTTTTTCCTATCCAAATGTTTCCCTTCCCTGTTTTATAGTAAAGTCTTTTACAAAAGCTAAGCACATAAACTTGCACCTCTTTTGTTAATCTGCTTAAGAATCCCAACACTCATTCATGTTAAAAAAAAAAAACTTCTAAATTCTAGTGCTCAGCTCCACCACAATCTTCTGCATATGTAGAATTAGCCTCTGAATCTAACAGAATTACAGTGTTATAAAGGAACCAAGACTGTCCAAGACCAGTGATACAAAGAAAGACCAAGTATAAAGGAATGAAAGGATCATGAATCTGCTTTCCCTGTACACTAATGTAGACATGTCCAGCATCATGCAGATTCATTTTACCTGGCGCAAATGTAAAAACCTCTGCAGACCAAAGATAGCTGCTCTAAAGATCGCAGGTCCAGATCACTGGAAACCACCCATCGAAAAATATACATCAACAGCTCCATAGGCAGCACTACCAAAAATAAAATAAAAAGGTTGTGATTATCAACTATACCTTAAGTAATTGTTTCTAAAATTAATTATCCTTTGGAATGTATCTGAATCATTCAACTGATTGACTTAGTGTACTGTAGTTCAACAGCATTCTTCAGCTTCATGGCAACCTCTAGAGCTCACAAAAGGCTAAACGGCAATTTGTTATGGTGAGAATTCTTTAAAGAAAAAGGCTTTCAGTTTTATTAAATTATGTAAGTACAAGTGTCTTAGTACCATCTAAACAACTAGTTGAATCCTATGCACCATCAGCATAGGGCACTGAAGGATAACAATTTTTCCCTGCTTTTTCCTTTCTTGCAATAAGAATGTTGACTAGAATGAGAGTAGAAGACAAATTTAAAAATCTGTAAGGAAATTGGATGTTACAAGTACATCTATTAGGGCATGCAGGGTATGTTTGACACTCCATTTGGGAATTGCCTTCCCGATGCAACTGCCGAAATATTTTTTATCAACTGACAGTCCCAAAACTCAGAAAAGCTTTTACTTTGGCAAGACTGAACATTCTTCCTTCGGCAGTTTTGGAGGGCAGAAGTATCATACTCTAATAGAACATGCAAATGCTCATATCATACAATTGAAACCAATAAAACATATGATTATGGTGCCCTATATTCAATGTGAGGGCTAATTTAGTCACCCCTTTACTTAAAGATATGGAACTGCCAAATGTGCGAGCCCAGGTGTCATGGCTACTTTCGGACACCTGGAAGCTGATTGGACTTCACTGCATTCCACGCCTCAAACTCACCCCTCCCCCCGCAAGGCAGTTGGAATGTCAGTTGCATATGGAACCTTCAAGGTCTTTTGCATATGGAAGCTGATTGGACTTCACTGCATTCCACGCCTCAAACTCACCCCTCCCCCCGCAAGGCAGTTGGAATGTCAGTTGCATATGGAACCTTCAAGGTCTTTTGCATATGGAAGCTGATTGGACTTCACTGCATTCCACGCCTCAAACTCACCCCTCCCCCCGCAAGGCAGTTGGAATGTCAGTTGCATATGGAACCTTCAAGGTCTTTTGCATATGGAAGCTGATTGGACTTCACTGCATTCCACGCCTCAAACTCACCCCTCCCCCCGCAAGGCAGTTGGAATGTCAGTTGCATATGGAACCTTCAAGGTCTTTTGCATATGGAAGCTGATTGGACTTCACTGCATTCCACGCCTCAAACTCACCCCTCCCCCCGCAAGGCAGTTGGAATGTCAGTTGCATATGGAACCTTCAAGGTCTTTTGCATATGGAAGCTGATTGGACTTCACTGCATTCCACGCCTCAAACTCACCCCTCCCCCCGCAAGGCAGTTGGAATGTCAGTTGCATATGGAACCTTCAAGGTCTTTTGCATATGGAAGCTGATTGGACTTCACTGCATTCCACGCCTCAAACTCACCCCTCCCCCCGCAAGGCAGTTGGAATGTCAGTTGCATATGGAACCTTCAAGGTCTTTTGCATATGGAAGCTGATTGGACTTCACTGCATTCCACGCCTCAAACTCACCCCTCCCCCCGCAAGGCAGTTGGAATGTCAGTTGCATATGGAACCTTCAAGGTCTTTTGCATATGGAAGCTGATTGGACTTCACTGCATTCCACGCCTCAAACTCACCCCTCCCCCCGCAAGGCAGTTGGAATGTCAGTTGCATATGGAACCTTCAAGGTCTTTTGCATATGGAAGCTGATTGGACTTCACTGCATTCCACGCCTCAAACTCACCCCTCCCCCCGCAAGGCAGTTGGAATGTCTGGTGGTGTGTAGGTCCCAGGATCATGTTTTAAAAGCTGCCTGGGGGCTTATGGACCATTCACACACTTTCACCCTTAACATACCTCATAGGGGGAGAGGAGAATGATGACAGCTGCTTTGGTTCCCACTGCAGGGACCTCAGACAGGTAGAATGCCATAGACTCCCCCCTCCACCCCAGCTAATTGCTCCTGGGGAACTATTGTTGCCAATCTTGGCCCAGCACCCATCAAACCATTCTCTTCAACCCCCTGCTGTGCAGCAGACTTCCCCTCGGGTTGCCAATCTCCAGGTGAGGGCTACAGATCACTCAAAATTACAACTGCTCTTCAGGGAGCAGAGATCAGTTCCTCTGGAGAAAACAGTGGACTCTGTCATTATACCCTGCTGAGGTCACCACAGCAAAATGACACTGTTTGCCCAAAGCCAGAGCACTCCCCCAGAGCCTCTTTCTAGATCTCGTTGTATTTATTTCCACAATGGGCTTTACTGCTAGTCGAATATAAGAGAAAAAAATACTAAGATCCTTTAAAATATTTTCTTTGGTTCTGATTTCTGCTTAAGGTGATAGCTGTATGAGCAGTACTAGATAGACAGACAGACAGACTAAAATGAGTAACAGGGGCCATATTACTCCAATTTTGTTCCTTCTATACTGTCTTCCAATTTCCTTATGAACCCAATTCAAGGTGCTGGTATTGACCTTTAAAGCTCTATACAAATTGAGGCCAAATTGAGGCCAGCATACCTCAAGGACTGCCTACTCCCATATGAATGTAGACAACCATTATGGTCATTTTCAGGGGCTTTGCTTTAGGTGACCCATCATCTGAGCCAAGATGAGTGCCAAACCAAAAAGCAGCCTTCTCGATGGTGGCAGAAAGCTGTCAAATTACCTGTTCTGCCAGTGGGTGAAGACCTATTTCTTTGGCATTCCCTTTGTTTAGGTTTTAATTTTTGTTCTCTTTCACTCTCTTTATGAATATATGCGTTGTTTTTAAAGTTGAATTTTTTCTTACAGTTTGCTACCTTGAAGGCCCAAATTAGGAGAAAATGGAAAATATTTTTTTTTAAATAAAGGCATAACATTTATTTGGAATATTTTAATGCTGCCTCTCCAGGAACCTGCCTGAGGTACCTTACAAAATAAAAATAACGCAAACAAAACATTAAAAGATATTAATTAAAAGCCAGCATTAAAACATATGGCATAAAAATAGACAACAGGAAGATTAAAACAAGTTTCCAGACTTAACAGCAGTAAAAAATTAACTCCTTAATTAAAAGCCTGGGTGAACAGAAATCTTTTAGCCTGGAGCCTAAAAGAAAGAGGTGAGCCTCCAAGGAAGGGCATCCCACAAGCAAGGTGGAAAAAGCCCTGCCTCTGGTCTCTACCCACCTCACTTCCAAAGTGAGAGAGCAGGGCTTCTGAGGCAGATCTTTTTTTTTTAATATGGTTTTTATTGACACCGTTACATACAAACAAATACACATAAACTCATCGTTAACCAACCAAACACAACACAACATACGCCTCCTACACGTAACACAGTTTCATCACTACAACTGCTTATGGTAACATATAACACAAAACAGATCCTTCACCATCCCTTCTATGACTGGAATTACAACTCTCAAAGCCTAATTATAGGTTTATCCTAGATTCCATCCATTTATATACATGTGACCAGACTTTTTGAAATGTTGAATTCATACTTCCATGTATCTTTTGCGTTAAATTGTTCCATTTCAACCACCACAATTACTTTATTAATAAAATCCCATCTGCTCGGTACCTGTTCGTTTTTCCAAAATTTTGCAAGCACTATTCTTGCTGAAGTTAATAAATGTAACACTACATAGATTTCGTCTTTTTTCCAATTAACGGGAAATATATTTAGTAAGAATATTTCAGGATCTAACGGGATTTGTATGTTAGTTATTTGTACTAACATCATCTGGACCACCTTCCAATACTGTTTTACTTCATTGCACGTCCACCAAACATGATAGTAAGAGCCCACCTGAACCTTACATTTCCAACATTTAATATTTAATCCCAGGTACATGCGTGCTAATCTTCCCGGTGCCATATGCCAACAATGAACCATTTTAAAGACATTTTCTTTTAACGGCACAGCTTTCAGCCATCTTACATTCTTCCATATCTTCTCCCATTTAATTAATTCAATATCATGCCCAATGTTTCTGATCCAAGGCACCATGGCTGTTTTGAGAACCTCATCCTGCATCTTATGGCTTAACAGAAAAGAGTAAATGTTACGAATCAACCTGGTGTCTTCCCCAAAAAGTATTTTATCTAATCCTGACATCTCTGAAAGAAAGCCTGTTTGTCTTTCATATACTTAGAGCTTAACTGGTTCCTTTCCCATCATGATAGTTGTATTTGTTGAGCTTGTAATGTTTCCTGCGATTTAAGCATATTATTCCTATTAAGAAGGACATCGTCACTCAGAGCCCGTGTGTCCGACATCAAACTAGGCAAAGTAATAGCCTCAAGTGGGGCTAACCATCTTGGTGTTTTGGTATAAAATAAAATTTTAATCTCATTCTATACTTTTAATAAACTAGCTCTTATCAAGTGTTGCCTGAAATACGAATGTGACTCATGTTTCTTATCCCATAAAAAGGCATGCCATCCTGCCATTAGATTATGTCCCTCCAGATTTAGAATCCTAGCATTTTTAAGGAGAATCCACTCTCGTAGCCAAGTAAGTGCCGCTGCTTGGTAATAAAGCCGCCAATCAGGTAATGCCAGACCACCTATTTGGTTTTTTTCCTGTAAAAATTTTAATTTTATTCTCGGTTTTTTCTTTTGCCAGATAAAATCACGAACTAATTTATCTAGCTTTCGAAAATACGTAAAATTTTTAAGTACTGGGATGGTTTGGGGAAAAAATAACACTTTGGGAAGAAGATTCATTTTGACCACAGTTGCCCTTCCCATAAAAGAGAGTTGCAAAGCTGACCATTTATCAAAATCTTTTTTGGTGGAAACTATTAATTGTTCATAATTATCTTGAACTAAAGTACTGGTTCTATTTGTTATATATATTCCCAAATATTTTATTTTCTTTTTCACTTCAAACTTTGAGATTTCCTTTAAGCTTTGGTTTATGTTCTCTCTGCAATTTTTTGTCAGCACTTTAGTTTTTTCCGTGTTAACTCTAAAACCCGCTAACTGGCCAAACTTACGTAAAGTCTCTAATAGAGGTGCCATGGAATTTACAGGATCTAGTAGTACAATTGCTATGGCATAGGCCTGTATTTTATATTCCTGCCCTTTTGCTTTAACTCCTTTAATATTGCTATTGTTTCTTATGGCCTCACATAGTCCTTCAATAGTAAGAATAAATAATAGAGGTGAAAGAGGACAACCTTGGCGGGTACCTTTACATATGTCTATTTTTTCAGTCATGTCTGCATTTATCACGATTTTAGCCTCTTGTTTTTTGTAAATTGCTTCTATTCTGTTGATGAAATCTTTTCCGCAATCCATTGCTTTTAAATTTTGGATCATATAATCCCAATTTATATTGTTGAATGCCTTTTCGGCGTCTAAAAAAACTACGGCCAACTGTTTGTCTGCATTTGCCTCGCAATACTCCAGACCGTTCATTATTACTCTTACATTTTGCTTCATTTGTCTGTTGGGCAAAAATCCCACCTGATCTTGATGTATCAATTGAGTGAGTACCTGTCTCATTCGGTAAGCAATAATAGGAGCATAAATCAACATTCAGGAGCGAAATTGGCCGATAATTCCGAATCTCTTTTTCATCTGAATCTTTCTTATGGATCAGGGAAATCAAAGCTGAGTTCCACGAATCCGGTATTATTTCCCCCCCTGATGTATCTGAAACAACCATTTTAAATATTAGGCTAATTTCATCCTCGAATGCTAAGTAAAACTCTGATGGGAGACCATCCGGCCCAGGGAATTTATTTTTCTTTTGTTTTTTAATCGCTTGCGATACTTCCGCCATAGTAATGGCCTGATTCAGAGTCTTTTTTTTGTTGTTCATTTAATTTTTTAATATTTTGATTGTTGCTTAAATAATTCTTAATTGTGTCTGGCTCAACCATTTGTCTGCTGTATAATTTGGCATTAAACCTTTTGGCAATTCCTTTTAGATCTTCTAAAACGCTCTTTCCAACTCCTTGCTCGTTCTTCAACGTCCTGATAAATCTTCGCTTTTTTCCGGTTTCAGCTTATAAGCAAGCCATCGAGTCAGCTTATTCGCATTCTCAAAGAAATTATGTTTGGTATATAGGATCTTTTTCGCTATCTCTTCATTAAGCAAACAGTTAATATCATGCTGTAATTTTGTAATTTTTAATCTTGCTTGCCGCAAACCGGGATCTGCCTTCAATTTATCCTCCTGTTCTTGAATTTTAATTTTCAAATTATTCATTTTCTGATTTAACCCTCTTTCGATTCACGAATAAATATTCCTCATGCAAATGCTTTGAAAGTATCCCAAACAGTTGTCAGCTGAGTCTCTGGGTGCATGTTAATTTGAAAAAAATCTTTTATCTCTTCTTTGGCCTTTTTAAGGAAACTATCATTTTTCATATCTTAACTGGCAGACTGAGTGATATGGAAGGAGGCAGTCCTTCAAGTATCACCAAGTACATTCCCCCCAGACGTTCCCTCTATAAATACTTAATACTGAAAAGCTGATGCGGGGGAGGCACTGGGGACCTACGTGAACAAAAAACCATGTAAAATGAGAAGCTACAGAAAGGAGGAGGAAACAGATGAAACTGTCCTTCCTGCTTCTTTTACTACTGGCGCTTTTGCTTGCAAAGGGGATCTGGCTAACACCAGAAGCAAGGAAGGAGGAATATTCTTCCATAATAAATTTCATTTATATGTTCATTTTCATTTTTTATGGAAAATTGATGTCATTAAAATTTAATGCTGCCTAGGCTTACCATTCCCCAGGTGGGGGGAGGGGAATCCTCGCTTTCGCAGGTGGAAATTTCCGCACTCCCAACAGTGATGTCGTGAGTGACATACTGACATCACCTAGAAGTGACATAGGTGCATCGCTGACTGGGGGGGGGGTGATGCTCTGGTCTTTGGGCAAAACTCTATGGTTTGAGGGTGATTTTACCATAGTTTTACCATAGTTTTGCTCAAAAACTAGAGCATCACCCCCAATGCCACCTACGTACCTACATAACTTCTGGGTGACGTATGCACATTGCATATTGTCCTCACCCGCTGCTGGAACAGCCCCCAATCCCCCAGCCGGTGCAATGACTGGACCTGGCAACCCTAATTCTGCCTAGCATTCTTCCCATCATGCTAATTATCTACATACAGGGATTTTTTTAAAAAAATCTGAGGACCAGTAAAAAAGGAAGGCTAAACATAAAATAAAATAAAATATTTTATTAGGTGAACTCTACTTAAAGATGTTAAAATTTCTACAAATTCTGAAGCCATGGGAAAAACTGGCTATGCTCACTTTCCTATCAAGCCTAAACTTATTTTATTGATTAACAACATAAAACACATCATTTATAAATTAGCATATAAAATTATACTATTCAGAATTTTATTACAAATGTCTGAGTTTTCTATAAGAAAAACTGAAAGTATACCCAGTACTTGAGAAACAGTTGTAAATTGCTGCACCCAATGCTACCATAGCAAATGTATTTAAATTTCTGTCATCATCTGTGAGGTAGGAAAAATAAAATTCGAAGGTAGAAAACAAATTCTGTAGTTAACAAAAGAAAGTATATTCTTTTGAGAGAAACACTCTTATGTAGTCACAATAAGTAGGACTACCAGCATATTTAGATATCAAATTAAACTTTAAGTGAAAACAGTAAACTTTTAAATAATATATAACATATTATATAACATATATATAGCATATAATATAACATATAATATATCATATTACAATATATTAATTGTTGCTAATATTTGCGTTTAAAAATAAATGTTATTGAAAATGTTGTCTACGTCTACATTATACATAGGAATTGTTATATAATGCTGTAGATTGTTTCACATGAAAACATTCATACTACACATTTTCAGTAAAACTGTCTTTAAAAAGCATTTTACTGATTTTTTAAAGGGAAAAATGTAACAGGAAAAGTTGTCCGGAAAAGTTGAAAAAAGTCTTTCATACTATATATTCTGAGTGAGAAAAACCTTGTCTTTAAAAATGTCACTCACTATGAAAGAAAAAATATTTCATAGGAACAAGTTTTTTAGTACTCCCCTAAATTTTCCAGTAGAAAAACTGGTCATACTTTTTCATGCTATACATTTGTAATGCATGAAATGGTTTTTAAGACAAGTTTTTTTCTCAGTCAAAAGAGAAAACATTTCAAAGGAGTTTTTTCTTTTTTATTTCAAAGGTTCCCCCAAATTTCCCAATTTTTCAATCAGAAAAACTTAGAAGGGGGGAATCCTCAGAAGAAACAGGCTTTTCCTGTTTTCTCATTTTTTTTCCCTGGCCTTCACATTTCATAAGGTGGAAAAACCCAGACACAGGTTTACCACCTCAATGGTAACGAAACTATTGTCATATACATAGGGTTAAAATGTCATTATTATAAATATTTTGCATTTTAAAAATTCTCTTGCCTGAGATATGGGTCTGATTCACATCAAGCTCAGGCTGACACAATTTGATGGAAGATTCCTGAAGAGTGAACTGCTGCTGAAAGTAGGACAGAAGGTCAGCCATCTTGCTATCATCCTCATTATCGTCAATGCTAGAGAAATAAAATGTCACTTGAGATTGGAATAGCATAAAACAACAGAAGACCAACTTCAATGAAATCCTAACCATATTTATTCTGACATAAATCCCATTAATTTCAATTAGGTTTACTTTTAAGTAAATACATGTCTAATTTGGCCATTTAAAATTTTAGGTTGCGGAAGTGTCCAATATCTCAAAGATTGTTCAATACTGCTTTAAACCTAAAATCCTAAACACACACTTATGAGGGAGTAACACCCAGTGAATGGTGGGGCTTCCAACTCTGACTTAAGAAATTCCTAGACATTTTGTGAATCCTTGGGAGGGGTTTAGGGAAAGGACAGAGTTCAGCAGTCCACTATCCAAAGCAGCCATTTTCTCCAGAGGAACAGTTCTCTACCATCTGGAGATCACTTAGAACCCTGGGAGACCCCCAGGCCCCACCTGGATGCTGGCAACACTATTTGGACTTGCTTTTCAATAGAGATGCTTACAACTGTGCCGCATGTGTCGAGGAATGTATTAAAATGTAACTGGCTTTAATTATGCTTGTAAGTACAATTTTCCATACCCCAGGTTCAATCTATTTACTTTCTTTTAACTGAAAAACAACAAGCCATATCTAAACAGCTTTGAGATATCAAATATTCAGGCAAGCATAGATTAGAAGGTGGGGAAGCTAACTGAAAGATGCAATTAGAAGTGAGAAAATGAGAAAACACAGGTGTGGAAAGGA